CAGATGTTGCAGTCCCTAGGCACCAATCATTTTATATATCGCGGAATGATGGTTGGAGGACAATCGAGAGCCGTCCTTATCTCAGCCATCTTTGAAAAGGCCATGAAGATCTCTGGACGAGCCAAGGCTGGCGGACGTTCAATCAAAAGTCAAGAAGAGGAGAAGGATGCCCAAAAAGCTCAAGATCTGGTTGAACAAGCTAAAGGCAAGAAAGGCAAGAAAAATTCCAAACCAATTGGTCCCAAAGGTGGAGTACCAGATGCTGGACGTGGTGTATCAGGTGATGGCACTGGATGGGCAAATGGGTAAGTTTGAATCTCTACGTGATCCATCGAGCATAACACGACTATATCTACTTGATGTTCCCTTTACCCTTTACGTTTATACTTACATGTTTGAAATTTTAGTAAAATTGTAAATCTTATGAGTACAGATACGTACCGTGTAGATCAAGCCAGTGGCATGTTTCACTTGATCTGGACAGCACCCATATCTTGCATCATCACCCTCATACTACTCCTCATCAATTTGACCTACAGCGCCCTTGCAGGATTCGGGCTGCTAGTCGTTGGACTGCCCTTATTAACTAAGGCAGTGAAGAGACTATTTGCGAGAAGAAAGGACATCAACAAGATAACTGATCAAAGAGTAAGTCTCACACAAGAAATTCTTCAGGCAGTGCGATTTGTAAAGTACTTCGGCTGGGAGACAGCATTCCTTGACAGACTTGCTGCAATCAGGAACAAAGAGATTCGCTCTATTCAGATCTTACTAGCGATCAGAAATGCCATAAACGCTGTCTCCATGACTATGCCCATCTTTGCGTCGATGATAGCTTTTATCACCTACAGTTTGACGGATCATGGGCTAAGCCCAGCACGTGTGTTCTCGTCGCTTGCTCTATTCAACTCATTGCGATTGCCGCTAAATCTACTACCCATGGTCATCGGGCAAGTTATTGATGCTTGGTCATCGATCTATCGCATTCAAGAATTCTTACTCAGTGAAGAGCAAGAGGATGATGCTAAGCCAGACCACGAAATAGAAGGAGCGATAGTCCTAAAAGGCGCTGACTTTACTTGGGAACGGACAGCTACTCAAGATTCGGAAAAGGCCGGGCCTCCTGCAAAGAAGCAGACGAAGGCTGAGGTTAAATTTGAAAAAGATGCCAAGAAACAAGTGGCCAAAGATGAAAAGGCCGCTGATAGATCCCGGTCAGATTCATCTCCAACCGACAAGGATATTTCAAACAGCGAGGGTACTTCAAACAACGACGGCACTCCTCTCGATGATGCAAGCACTGTCAATGGTGACGAAGAACCATTCAGTTTAAAGAATATGAATTTCACAATTGGCAGAAATGAGCTGGTAGCTGTAATAGGTGGAGTTGGAAGCGGTAAAAGTTCTCTGCTTGCTGCTCTCGCAGGTGACATGCGGAAAACAAGAGGAGAAATGACTATGGGAGCTGATCGAGCCTTTTGTCCACAATATGCATGGATACAGAATGCGACTGTCAGAGACAACATACTATTCGGAAAGGATATGAACAAATCGTGGTACAACAAAGTCATCGATTCTTGTGCTTTGAGGCCCGATTTAGACATGCTCCCGAACGGCGACCAAACCGAAATTGGCGAGAGAGGTATCACTGTATCAGGAGGTCAGAAACAACGAATGAATATCGCACGAGCCATCTATTTTGACGCTGACTTGATTTTGATGGATGACCCGTTAAGCGCTGTCGATGCACACGTTGGTCGTCACATTTTCGACAATGCAATCATGGGCTTATTGAAAGACAAAGCTAGAATTTTAGCCACTCATCAACTATGGGTACTAAATCGTTGCGATAGAATTATATGGATGGAAGAGGGCAAAGTTCAAGCGATTGACACATTCGGTAACCTCATGAACAACCATGCTGGTTTCCAGCAGCTCATGGAGACAACTGCAGTTGAAGAATCACAGGAGCCAGAGGCTGAGGAAGAAGGTATCGTAGTGGAGAAGAAAGCTGAGAAAAAGAAGCACAAAGCACCTGCTTTGATGCAAGCCGAGGAGAGATCCGTCAAGAGTGTTTCATGGACAGTTTACGCCGATTATGTCCGGGCTTCTGGTAGTCTCTTGAACGCACCAATCATTTTTTTGCTACTCCTTCTTTCACAGGGTGCAAATATCGCCACCAGCTTGTGGTTGTCATGGTGGACAAGCGATAAATTTGGATACTCCACTGCTGTGTATATTGGAGTGTATGCTGCGCTTGGTGCTAGTCAGGCTTTGCTGTTGTTCTTCTTTGCTTTGTAAGTTTTTTTTCCTTTTGAGTTTTCTTCCTTTCGAAACGGAGTATTCGCTAACCACCCCAAATCAGATCCCTCACAATCCTCGGAACAATTGCGAGTAAGGTGATGCTCAGCAAAGCCATTACAAAGGCACTCCGAGCGCCCATGTCCTTCTTTGACACCACTCCTCTGGGTCGCATCACCAACCGCTTCTCAAGAGATGTTGATGTTATGGACAACAATCTCACTGATGCTATACGCATGTTCTTTCTAACTATGGCTATGATTATCTCGGTCTTCGCCTTAATCATTGCCTACTTCCATTATTTTGCTATCGCTTTGGCGCCTCTTGCACTTCTCTTCATATTTGCAGCCGGGTATTATCGCGCATCGGCACGAGAAATGAAGCGATTCGAATCAGTCTTTCGATCAAGTGTATTTGCCAAATTCAGTGAAGGACTTTCAGGAACAGCTACTATTCGAGCATATGGACTACAAGATCGATTCATTACTGATTTGAGAAAGGCCATTGACGAGATGGACTCTGCCTATTTTCTTACGTTCTCGAACCAGCGATGGTTATCTACTCGTTTGGACATTATCGGAAATCTGCTTGTTTTTGTAACGGGTATCCTAGTCATCACTTCTAGATTTTCCGTGGGACCATCGACTGCAGGATTGGTATTGTCTTATATTCTTTCTATCGTTCAGATGATTCAATTTACCGTTCGCCAACTAGCGGAAGTCGAGAATGGAATGAATGCCACGGAACGTATCCATTATTACGGTACTTCTTTAGAGGAAGAGGCACCATTACACACAATAGATGTTCGCCCTACATGGCCCGAGAGTGGTGAGATTGTCTTCAACAATGTCGATATGCGGTACAGAGAAAGTCTTCCGTTGGTATTGTCTGGCCTATCAATGCACGTAAAAGGTGGCGAGCGAATTGGGGTGGTTGGTCGTACGGGTGCTGGTAAATCAAGTATCATGTCTACTCTCTTCCGACTTGTTGAGATTTCCGGTGGTTCAATCACTGTTGATGGTGTAGATATCAGCAAGATTGGACTTCACGACCTTCGATCTCGTCTTGCTATTATCCCACAAGATCCTACGCTATTCAAAGGTACTATCAGAAGTAATCTGGATCCTTTCGGCCAACACAGTGATTTGGAACTTTGGTCCGCATTGCGACAGTCTGATCTTGTGGCCTCAGACTCGAATCTCGAAGACGAAGTCACAGGGCGTATACATCTGGATTCTGTAGTCGAAGATGAAGGATTGAACTATTCGCTAGGTCAAAGACAACTAATGGCACTTGCACGTGCTCTTGTCCGCGGTTCGCAAATCATTGTTTGTGACGAAGCTACAAGTTCTGTTGACATGGAAACGGATGAGAAGATTCAAAGAACTATTCAAGAGGGTTTCAGAGGCAAGACGCTTTTGTGTATTGCTCACAGACTTAAGACCATCATCGGATATGATCGCATTTGCGTGATGGATAAGGGTACAATTGCAGAATTAGATGAGCCGGTTAAGCTATGGGAGCAGGGAGGTATCTTCAGGGCCATGTGTGATAGAAGTGGCATCCGAAAAGAGGATTTTGCAAGGGCGGCAGTTCCGACCGGGATCACGAAAATCGAGCAGGGGGTTAATGTATTGACATATTAGTGGGTGATGTATGTATGATGACGAAAGATGGCAATGTTATATGGTATACATGCATTTAATGTGCATTTTCGGGCGTTCGGGAGAAAGATAAGATGAGCAAGCATTTGAGAGTTTTGGTTTGATAATTAGCTTGCATGCTATTGTCAGAATGCCATTGCTAGACGGGGTTTCATAGCAAAGTTTAAAGAACGATACGATACAGCAATCTAATGAGAAAGCAAAGGACGTTTGAGAATAAGAATACTGTATATGTTTATTTAGTTGTGATACGTCTTTCAAACCATGTCATCCTCCCAGATCGTTTCAATCTCTGGAGCGTATACATTCTTCCAGGTGTCACCCTTTATTACGTTCTCCGAGTGAGTGAAGGTGGTAGAGCCTAATCCTGACCAAGTCTTTTCCCCGCTCAATGTTGCAATAACGGAACTTTTTACCAAGCACATGTAAGCACATATAAATTACGAATTCTCAAAGACGGAAAGCAGCCCGAGTCTGGAAGGAAGTGGAGTACAAAAAATGGCTGGGATTCATAGCATCAATCCTTCACAAAACCTGGTTCGGACGGTTCGGATAGGCATGGAATTTCCGAGCATGTCGCTGTACAGGGTTTTAAACGAGGCGAGCGCGAATATGTACTACACATCAAATGCGGCCTAAGTTATGACTGATGATGATTGGTAGGTTGATGCGGGATCTTTTGATGGGAATTGTTTATGAAGCCGGGGCGTCCCCTTTTGAGGGATTTCGGTTTTTGGATTTTTGGATTTTTGCTTCTTCGCTTGTGTCGATTTGTACACATATAATTTGGGATATTTGCATTGTATACTCTTCATACTTACTCGTATAACATCTCCGCATCATCCGCCCCGCTGTCAAATCTCTTTGTCGATATCCACTTGATAAATTCTCAAGCTCTCTCGCTAATCTCGGGTATCCACTATCTCCACAACATCACGATTCAATCGCCCCTTTTACTACATTTCTTTCCCTTCCTCAACGATCCCGCCAACCTACTTCCCGACCTCCCGGCTTCCACGTCTCCCACTGGCAATCATGCCCTGCACGGAATTTGCGCTTCTCCCCCTCACATCCCCGCTTTCTCCCCGGCTGATCCCCAAACTCCGCACGTGCAAACATGTGCTCGAGAGAGCGTCGGGTTACCCTTGTCATTTCTATCAACAGGTGGAAAATCCTTCGTATATGTATATTGTCGGGACGTGGGAGAGTCCGGAACATCATGAGAAGTTTCTGCCGAGTGTGGAGAATCTGGGACTTTTTGATTTGTTGAGGGGGGAGGTGGTGCTGGGGGTGGGGATTGGAGAGACGGTGGAGGGGAGGGGGATCAGGATGTGGCATTGTGAGTGTGGATTTTCTTTAGTTTGTTTGTTTTGCTATTTTGCGGTGCTATGTTTTGGGGGTTAGGGTTGGGGTTGGGGCTGGGGTTAGGTCTAAGGAGTAGATTTTTGCACGGATTTGAGTGAGGTTGGAGGTTGGGTATGGTTACTAATTATGTGATACTATAGTGGAAGGCGACGCACTCAGTTCCCTCCGAACAGGAATAGATGAAGGAATCGGAGAAGAAGACGCAAAGAAAAAATCTCCCTTCAGTGCACCCATCATATCATGTAATAGACATTACATATCATCCCACAACAGGGAAGGATTTAGTGAGAAGTTTAACGAGGTAAAACACGCGTTGGAGAACGAAACGGAAGAGTATGAGGTTGAGGGCGGGTGGAGGATAGAAAAGGAAGCGGAGGATAAGGAGGAATGGGTTATGTTTTGTGGGTGGGAGAGTGTGGTGAAACATATGGGGTTTAGTAAGAAGGAGAGCTTTAAGGAGTGGAGAGGGATTGTGGATTGGGTGGAAGGGTTTGAGGTTAGGCATTTGAGGTTGATTGAGGGGTTGTGAGTCGGGAGCAAAATGATGGAAATGATGGGAATGATATTTGATTATAGAGCAAATCGGCTTGGTTTCGCTGAATGGTTGAAAGTATTTGAATCCTAGCTACTCTTGGTTATATAGTTTCGCGTATATTTAGTGTTGAGATAACCCTCGGTTTATACGTTATTAATAGTTGTTAATAGAACACCGGGACTTCTCTTCCTCTCGAGCATTGAAATTTGAAACGCAAAAATTATTGAAACATGTTATACATCTATCTAAATGCCCGTATATCTTCAATTCAGCATTCAAAGCAACTTGAAAATAGTGGATAAACGAGCCGGTCCCAAAATGTCTAAATTTCAGAGGAAAATCGAAGTGACCTAAATGTCACGTGGTACTAAAACTGTCCAAGTCCATTGCGGCTAAAAGAACGACCATATAGAATTCAAATTCGAAATAACTTTCTTTGCGAGTCTACAGAAACGTATCAGACATGCAATGAACCTTTTGAATAGGAAATCAGAAAAACGATCCTATGGATTCTCACTACAAATTCAAGTTCAACCATCAAACCCCTGTATGGCTTGTTTGATCTCGCGAAAAGATCTAGCACCAAACTACTCCAGAAGACTTTCGCATTAATTGCTTTTATTCATTCGGTTGAAATCGAAAAACTTTACTCCTGAAAATGGCGTCTAGTCTTGAGAATCACGTGAACGTGTCCTGTTTGCGAATTTTCTGTCGAGGTACTTGTGTCTCCACAATTTGTGTAGCTCGGGAAAATACATCCATACATTATACATAATACATGGACCAATATGCTGACCAACGAACATACAGGTAACGTACCTCATCCGCCCGGAATCCTCTCACCCAGGTACTAATATCACTTAGCCGTTTCCACGAACAAAATACTTTTGGTGCCATATGAAGAATCACACGTGATTACATATCATGAGTGGATGAAAGATGAGGTAGGTCTTTGTGTTTGTTATACATGTATATGCAATACATGAACCATCTTCCAGAATTCAAGATGGAACTAATACGATTCTAGGAAATCCAACAAGCGACGGCCTCTGAGCCCCTGAGTCTCGAGGAAGAATATGATATGCAGCGGAGTTGGAGGACGGATCATGATAAATTGACATTTATTATCTGTTTACCTGAAGAGAGAGATACATCGCAAGAGACTAGGAAAGGGGTATCAGATGCACCTACGAAGATGATAGGGGATGTTAATTTGTTTATATCGGAAGCAGATGAGGATGATGAAGGATGCATAGGAGAGATTGAAATTATGATTGCGGAACGCAGTGCAAGAGGTAAGGGATTGGGAAGATCGGCAGTGGTTACTTTTCTCGAATATTTGAGGAGCAATCTGGAGAAGATTCTGGAGGAGTATAGGAAGGGTATCCAGGGGAAGAAGGAAGAGGAGAAAATGAAATTGCTGCAGTTGAGGGTCAAGATTGGAGGCAAGAATCTCGCGAGTATTGGACTTTTTGAAAGCGTGGGGTTTGTAAAGGTTGGGGAGGGAGAAAATTATTTTGGTGAGGTGGAATTGGTTTTCGAGGGGTGGTGTGGGGAGGAAAGGGTGAAGGGCTTGATGGAAAGGTTTGGGGTGGAGGGATATAGGGAGTGTGGTTATAGATGATGTGATTTTACACTCAAGAGTCACTAAATGCTTTGAACTTTCGATGTGCTGCAATATCTTTCAGCATAACATGATGAATTATGAGGGCACAAAGAAGGTACAGGTGCAAGCGTTCGTTTAAGATGCCAGTTGTTTTCCCATATATGTCATGAGAGGATTATCAAACACGTCTTCTAAACTGCACCATGGGCCTGTTCCTAAACTAATATACGCATCTCCCAAAGAGATTGTATTCTTCATCCCCATCGCGACTCTCAACTCTTCTAAATCCCGCCTGTCTCATCATTTTCAGCTGGCATGAAATTCTCATCAATATGCATACCACCCAATAATACCTGTCTCTGCAACTCCGAAAGTCCAGTGGTCCCCATTCGCAGAGCTTCATCAATCCATGCGGGTACGTACTTACATACGTTGACAGTCGGTCCCATTACGATATCTTCTGCTCTCCTGAATGTCGCTCTAATTTCTTCCATAAGCAATTCAAACACATGTGGAGATTCAAGCACATAGAATCAAATACCAGTTTTATTAAAATTAACAGCAGTTGCATCCATTCCAATAATGATGAGATGACTTGCTTCAGCTGTAAATTCATCCTTTGTGTGGCCAAGCGCACTAGTGTCTCTGATAGCTGAGAAGAGAAAGTGGAACATATATTTTCTGACATGTTTCCCAAGCGCTTTGAAATTCTCTTCCTCTTCGTTTCATGTTGCGAGGCTGCTCTCAAGGAAGATGAGATAGTCTTTTGATTTCTGTAGTGTGATGAGATCAAAAATGGCATCGAGACCGCGGGGTTCAGGTCATATCTACAGGTGCTGGATCGGAGGCGGAGCAATCTACATTAGGTTAGCCAAGTTTTGGGTGTAGCAATGAACAAACTTACTGGGTACATAAACTCCTTATATTCGGCGCTAGGATGGACGTAAGTTGTCAAATTCTATGTAATTTTGTCCATACTCAAAAGTGACTTGTCGGCAGCTGATTTTTGCCCCTGAGAAATCATAAAGACATATGTATAGCACGGTTTTTAGAGCCATACCCCAAACGGGCAAAAAAATTGTATATTATGGTTTTCATGATTGTAATTATCAAACTTCTGTTTACCCTGTTTATTATATAGACTTTGTAATAGTAATATGAGATGTATGACCAATTTGCGCATGTAAGTATGACAGCAGCCGAGCCTCCACCACTCCATCGTATGGAGTTTTGACACAAGCCCCAATTGGAGACTCGCGTTCTTACTAGCAGAATATATAACAAAAGCAAAATGACTCGAAAGTCTACCACACTTTGCCGACTTTCATATTGGGTCAATAAGCTCAACTTGTGCAATAGCTCCAGAAAATGTATCTGGTAATGCGTGTACAAAAACTCAAAGAGTGTGTCCAGGGGTTCATGTAATGCTTTCCAAATTTCATAAACTGGTTCAGGTGGTAGTACTTAGTTGTTTAAGCCATTATCTTGTTTAATTCCACCAGATTTTGATTCCACGAGAAGCCTTCTCAAGGCATAATCAATATATTCATATTGCATGTCTAAAGCGAACTACGCCGAGGTCTCATCATCATCGGAACTTTTATGTGATTGAGGAGTAGCAAAGAAGAGGAAGGAATGGCCGACTCTCAACTAAAGTTCATCTGAGCAGGCGTCTCGGGCCAGACGTCAAAGTGATGATGGTACACATAAAAACATAAGTAGCAACGAGTCAGAATCCCGAAATTTGACTATGACTAGGCACATATAGGATACGCACATTGTTCACTGAGTTCGCAACTGCCGACTTACCACGTAGTGTTGATTTACTAAACTTCACCCATAGAAATCCTATCATGCTCAAAATATTGCCTTAACATGGCTTACTATCACTATCACTACCACTATAATTCCAAAACCTCATCTTTTTGAAATCCTTTCACACATTATTTTATATCTCCTCACGCATCTTACATTCCATCTTTAATCCCATTCCCTGACTGTGAAAAGTTTATGTGTTCTTACTCAACAAGAATATTACCAAACGCATCAGATATTTCTCTCCGTGAAGGTGGCAATTGCATTTCAGGCTGCGTTGAAATACCAACAGCTAGTCTTTCTTCCATAAGCTTAATCAGAACTGGTGGAACACTTTCATCTGTTGCTCTGATGGTGAGGCGAACCATCTAAATTTCATAATTAGCACAAGAAGTTTCAGGGGATGGAGGATACGAACCTGGGTTCCATAATTCGGCTCCAGCCTTAATAAACAACCAAATTTGCCTCCCTCACCAGTATGCAACACGCTGGCACCAACAAAGTTCTTCTTATTAGGATCCACGCCATCCAAGATACCCCATCTAAATCCATCAATGGTCCTACGAACAAACCCATCAGTAAATTCACGACTTCCGCCCTTACCACCCTTGACACCAAAGATGCGTTGAGCTTCACGTGGCGCTCCTCCAATTTGCTTCCATCGTTTGAAGAAATCATCCGCTGACAATTCTGCTGGATCCATAAATTTGTGTATGGTAATTGGAAGCTTCAGTGTCAAAGCTTGGAGAGCTCCGGCCAGGTAACTTATTCTCATCGTTGGACTCTTTTCAAACACCTTTTTAGACTCAAACATTATCATTTGTTGACTTTGTGCACCTTGATGAATTGTGCTTTCCGGAAGACCTTTTACTTCCCATGACAAGTTCTCCTTCTCGCTTGGTTCGAGATCAAGTGTTGTGGTAAACGAACTGACAGGAGATGGGGCTTTGTTGGAGAAGTATAAGATGACGCATGCCATTTGGCCACGATATTCAGATCGCACTCCGATTTGAATTTGCCCATCTTCATAAAGAACTCCCTCCGCTTTAAGAAGAAGTTTGTTATATCCAATCTCCCAATCCGGTGAAAGATGGGCTGCGCTTGCTAAGTTTGGCGCTTTAAGGGTTTTCGGTTCCGACGGACCTTGATCCATAAGATCCAAGCCAGCAAGATCGTTGCTGGAGCCAGTGTTGTTTCCATTAGTGCCATTAGTTCCCCCATTGGCTCCGGTGGCAGTGGGCTTTGCTCCATTGGTACTGAAAGTACGCTTGAGACCTGGGTTCTTGGCAACCACAAAATCTTTCTCATTAGCATTAGCGTCTTTGCCCCCCACAATCCAAGTTCGTTTATCACTAGTTCCCGCATGCTTTTGATGTAGCCGTGAAAGTAGTGCTGATTGACGTTCCGGAAAAGGTGGCATTTCGTCGCAGACCGTTCGGAGAAGATCATCGGTTGGTAAGCTTGCCAATGCCAAGTATTCGCAAGCTCTTTGTTGAAGCTCAGAGTCCAAGGTGTGACTGTATGCTTGGAATACATACATAAGTCGAGGTTTAATCTCTGGGAAAAGATTGACAAATTTGATAAAAGATGATAATATAATGGCTCTTGTACTGGATGAGCAGCCTTGTAGTTTTCCCTGTAATGCAAGGTACTGCTCGATTGGGCTACAACCTTTGTCCTCTGCAATCAAGTGGCCAAATTCGCCAAGTATGTATCCACCGATCTTCACAAGTGTCTCGTGACAGTGGTCCGCTTTTACATACTGTAAAATATTCTGTGCTGCATACACTTGAAGCTCTTCGTTATTGGTAACGATTTGAATGACTCGGTGCCAAACCTCATCACTGACATGGTCTCCCGCCATCGCAATGAGTCGCAATGAAATGTCAACATACCACTGAATGTCAGTGGCGTATTTCTCGGTCAAAATGGCAATCTTTAGGACCATTTCTTCTCGGATTGCAAAATCCGCGTTCTGAAGATATTGCAAGAGCTCGCCAACAATTGGTTGTGCGTTAGTTTGATCACACATGCTGTATAGCAAATCCAAACCTTTCCTCCGTACACTGATATCTCTATCCTTCAGCGACCCAATAATAATTGCTTGATGCTGCTTAATAGGGTCTAATATATCAGCTCTTGCAGCCAAATGTGTCATGGCTTCCAAGCCGAGATAGCGAACGTTGGTCTCTCGTGACTGGATGAATTTTCCGAGTCTTGTTGAGATTTGTTTCATGAGATCTACTTCGGTATCAAGATGAATGACAAGGTTTATGGCCTCGAATAGAACAGCATTTTGCGCATTGTTCTGCTGAACGTTCTTAGGCATATCAGACGCATCATCCAGAATTTTTTGTATGGACTGCCGAATCAAATTTCTGACATGTGTATCCTCTAAACAATGTTAGTATATATGTGGCTGCGGATAGTGGAACATACCTGATGCGGGATAATATTGTAACAATCTTAAAAGTTTCATTTGGAGCCACGGGCAGGGTACCTTATAATAAAGATAGTCCTGTGTGAACTCTTGATCCACGACTATCCTTTTAATTCTTGCTGCAGCTTTAACATAGCATCCTTTATATTGATCAAGATTGTCTTGAGCAAGAGCCATTACGAGGGAGGTGACCGAGAGAGCAACACCAATGTCAACATCATCCATTAAAGATATTATCCGTTCCGCCCATTGCGGTTGCACTATGTCGGGATGCTTTCGGTAGAGTCTGAGGAGAGTCAAAGCTGCCTTCTTTTTGACGAACGATTTGGATGTCCTGCTGTGGTATTAGAGACAATACAGAACGGAGATGAAGCGAGCTTTCTCACGGTGATATCAGGAGCCGGTGAACCTCCCCACTCAGCGCCTCTCCCATTTCCCTTCCACCAACATTAGCAATGGCATGCAATGCCAAGCAATTATATAATTCATTGTGATCCGTCAAGTCTTTCCTGATGCTGTTCACGACTAAATGTATCAATTCATGCCCTTCGTGGAGAAACAAGGTCATTGCCAGATATCCAATTTGCTTTTCCGAGTATTTATTGGCAGATATAAGATTGACCGCTTCGAGATGGCCGAAATCGACATTCCACCCCAGGATATATATGTATAACAGCTAAAATGATCTTTATTAGAGGCATATCCGTGAAAGGCGGTCGAGCGAATTACCTTGCAGACATATTTTTTCTTATGATACCCACTGAGATTTCCATCTGTTCGTCACAATTAGCTACACCCCTTTACTCTAGGCAAGAATTCGAACCCTTGAATTTCTGTCTTGAATAAGGAACAAAAGTCAGCCTTGCATGAGAAACCTTGGACTTGCAGAGGAGTAATGACCAACCTTATGTTCGCCAGTTCTTTATTGATTCTCTTTTCTTCAAGCTCTCTAGCTCTAGCATTTCTAAGATCTGCAATGAACTGCACGAGACCTCGCATATTTGAGTTACTGCTGGAACCCCCCCGGCCCAGAAAGCTGCCTGCAGAGGACGCCATCGTTGCTGTCTTTCTATCGGCCTTCTGAATCGCGGTGTATGCTCTTGCGGCCGGAGAGCAAATCGAGACGATGATCCAGCGCGCGACTTTAACCAATTGTCAAAGTTCTTTGTCGGTCTCTGATGGTAATTCCTTCCACGGACTCCGGATTGTGTTGGCAAATCACTGGTGCTTTTCGAAATGCGCTGTTGGCTGCGGAAACTTAGCCTTGCTCGTGATCCGCCATCCGCAAATTGTTATGGCGTGTTCGCCCCTTTTCTTCAAGATATCAAACGCAAAGATAGTTGTTGTTGATGAATTCCTGGCGAGATTGGAATCTAGAGAGGGTTCAAGTGTACTGAGTTTCCACTCCGTACGCGCGACCTAAGGGACATTGTTACTAGGGAATAACAGGGATTGATTTCTTAGGTAAGGTAAGGCTCTCTAGTCTCAAGCTTAGCCTTGCCTGCAAATGATTATCCTTAACGTCACCACTTACAATCTTTATTTTTATTATAGTATCTGATCCCATTGACTTGAGGATTGTCATTGATGTTCTTTTTATTTATATAACTGTCTACAATACATTCCTCTCTCAATCATGAAGTCTTTAGCTTTACGACCGTTTCTTCCAAGGCCTTCGATAACAAGAAGACTATGTATATCTCGAAATTATGCAGTTCAGTCCCCGGGATCACCTACTTTGCAGGTCTTCGATAGACATACTAAATATTTACAAAAAGAGCGTGCAGCTTTAGACAAGGAGAAAAGTAGACAGGTGGATTATCTGAAGGATGAAGTAGCCATGCGACTTTCAGAAAGGTTACTGGTGAGATTATCCTGTGGAATTGAGATCAAGTAGCTTATAATGTTACAGGATATCAATAAGCATTTTGATCATGTCCTAGATCTTGGCGCAAATTCATGTAACATAGCAAGGGCTCTCACTTTACCAGATCCAGATATTGACCTTTCGAAAACTACATCTCCTCCACTCTCCTCCCGTATCGCCCGTCTTACGGCTGCAGATTCATCTCGCAATATGCTGTACCGCGACGAAGACTTGCCATTTAATAAGGAAATAAACCTCACACGCGAAGTGCTCGACGATGAGGAAAGATTGCCTTATGAATCTGGAACATTTGATGCAGTGTTGAGCTCTTTGAGTATGCATTGGATCAACGACCTTCCATCACTCCTTGCGCAAATCAATCACGTTCTGAAGCCTGATGCACCATTTATGGCAGCAATGTTTGGTGGCGATACATTATTTGAATTACGAACTTCACTGCAGCTTGCAGATATGGAACGAAGAGGTGGAGTCTCTCCGCACGTCTCTCCGCTGGCGGATGTAAGAGACATTGGAGGTTTGCTGCAGAAAGCGGGGTTCAAGATGTTGACGGTCGACATCGACGACATCATTATTGATTTCCCCGACACATTTGCCCTGATGCAAGATTTACAACAGATGGGCGAAAGCAATGCTATATTAGGAAGGGAGGCAGGTGCAATCAAGAAGGATGTACTTCTTGCAAACGAGGGAATATATCGAGAGTTACATGGAAACGAGGATGGTACAATACCCGCAACATTTAGGATGATATACATGATTGGCTGGAAGGAAGGACCTAACCAGGCACAACCATTACCTCGAGGTAGTGGGGAAGTCAACATAAAAGATATCCTTGGTGGCGGCGAGGTCAAATGAATAGTCATTAATACAAATAAATTATACTTGCGCCGTGAAGTGCTTTACAAAGAGCAACACACAAATTTATATTTACATTTTCATCCTTCATTGGGGAATCTGGGGGGCAAGATTTCTCATCACATTCTGTACACCCATCATCCACAAACATGTCCTAAATACCTAATCATTTGACTCCGCCTCTATCAAGAATGTCAAACCCGCAAGTGCGCAGGAATTACAGTAATAGTCGTTGTTGGCTGGATCTTTGGCGCAAAAATCGCAGAATGATTATGGGGAATATCCTCCATGGTTCCTTTGGTCTTTGCCTCTTCCCAAGTATCCTCGTCGACATAACCAAAGTTGTAGAAAACATAAGGAGCATCACACCCCAACGCCAAGTACGAGAAATATTCGCTGGCACCAAAAGGATCAGCTGGAATTAAGTTATTTCCCAAAATATTCTCCAAAAGATTTCTGTAGTATTTTTGCCGCTGAAAAATCATTGACAGTGGGAGGAGCGTGCATAGTCGTTGTGAATTCCGGATCTCTTAGGCGAGAGAACCAGAAATCTCGCACTCCGAGTAAACGACACATTTGACCGCTGCAGCTAAGCGTTCGTAAATACTTGGATTTTCTGAGCGGATTGAAATTTTCAGATCCTCAAAAATCAGGTATGATGTTTGCGGTACTACCACCATGAATACTGGCACATCTAATCACCGCAAATCCTTCTGGTCGCACTTCTTTTGTGATAATACTTTGCAATCGCACCACGATATGACTGGCAGTCACAACGGGGTCAACACACAAGTCGGCACGACAAATATGCCTACTCTTATCAAAAAAAAAACCCGTACATCGAATGAATCCACTGCTGTCAAGATCGTACCTCCGCCAAGAGCAATCATACCAGCTTTGAAAGCATGCGTCTTTAATCCAAGTACTATATCTGGCTTAGTAACAGCGAACTTGGATGGATCGTAAAGACCATCTTCGATCGTAGCTCGTGCACCCACTGCGAGCTCTTCCGCTGGTTGAAATAAGACAATCAAAGTGCCAGACCATTCGGATTTTGCGTCGAGAAGCATCTTTGCATCAGCAAGTAACACAGCAGTATGCATCTTCAATACGGGTTAGCAAATTTATTTCATGGAAGTCCATGGATATGTGGTGGTTGCGAAGTTACTTTCATCGGGAAGTGGCGAGACTGCAGATGAAGAATAGCCACAGGTAGCTAGGTTTCGGGGACATTGATTACACTTACATCATGGCCGCATGCGTGCATCACCGGTGTTTCTTTCCCGTCACTACTCTTAACAATCCTGGTACTTGCATACTCTAAATTTGTGTTCTCCAAATGAGGCAAAGCATCCATATCGGCGCGAAGAAGAACTGTAGCTCCCGATCCGTTTATTTAGGATTTCAACAACGCCGTGTCCTCCGATTTCCTTGATGACTTGGTAGCCACCAAGAGACTCCAAAAACTCGACGACCAGGGTGGCCGTGTGGACCTCCTGCAAGGAAAGTTCTGGGTTTCGATGAATATCGCGATAAATCTTCTCAAATGGAGCAAGCTCAGGGCAATACTGTTGAATTATTGATCCTTTGTAGGTTTAAAGGGACGAAGAAAAATACTATTGTTTTTTGAGCAGCAACTTGTGCCGCCTCACTCATGTTCTATTCTTGTCGTTGCTGTGTCAAGATGCCAGCCCAGCGAAATGAGGAAATCCCTCCGGTCTGTGCCTTATCGTCTCACAATCAGCACCAACATGTTGGGATTTATTTCAAATCAGGATGGCTGATGCTTCACTAGATTGTCCACACCACACATATTAGACCACATGATGATGCGAGTTGGCAGCTACTCCGACACCTTCGTGTAATATCACAAGAGCATCATCTTTCATACTGTCTTCAGAAATTCAAGACCGTCCAGAAACAACTCGATCCTGATCTGATCATAATGTTTTTGCTAGCTGCTAGAAATAATTGAGAGTGCGGTATCAACAGGCCACGCTATTTACTCTTGGATAGATGTGGGTCAATCTGGTGTCCAACATATCAGTGATAATGGTGATATGATCATAAATGCCAGCGCTGTCACCTCAACCAATAGTTATTTGACACTCTCCGACCAATACTTTCTGTCGATTTCATAAATTGTAGAAGTCAACAATCCATAGGACTAATGATGCCTGTGGTAGATCTGTACGGCTAAGATACGATGCCCAATCCACAGGGGTAGCACTATCTGGCCATCGCTAGATATTACGCAGCCAGTTCAGGAATAGCGAGCTTGTGTGCGGCACAGTAAGCAACACACATTTTGCGATCCATTAGATTGGAATCAATCCAGAAACAGTGCTACTGAAGCTAGTATCCTCTTAATTAAGAAGTTCGCAGAGAATGTTAGTGGCGCTCAATAACACACGTATGCAAATTTATGTGGATTATCCTCGACCAACAAACGTGCGACTCGCAAGCAAGTTATCACCACTTTCGATAGAGTATCTTTGTTTTCCTCACAATGCCAAAGTTTTAAATATGTAGCATTAGGCATCTCAACATTGATCGTAACACCGCTATTGCCGAGTGCCTTGGTATGTGTTGGTACGGATTCCACGTTGCGCGTTTTCATTTCCCTCCTACGATATTCTACCCATTTGTTTCGTGTCCATCATGTTTTTCTGTCTGTGTGCGTCTATTTTGTCCAGTTTGCACCCAGAAAGCCCTTCCTTTACCTTCCTCACTTCTGTAGCGGCCATCCCCAATCGAGTAAGTGGGCAGAATGGCTTCCGATGATTGTTCCGTGCAACAGCCAGTTGCAGAGCAAACACAAAGTCTTCGCGTCAATAGGAATGCCATCTTAACCACCGAGAAATTGAAAGGTCATGGCCATCATCATGAAGGTCCACCTCCCCCTATCGGTGGCTTAGTTGCTTGGATGCAGGTTACTGGCGCCCATCTTTTCCTTTAATTCAATACTTGGTGGGTAAACCTATGTTGCCATTAATTTCATACACGATTCTCACTTGTTCATTCTAAGCGGCTTGTCAACACTTTCGGCGTATATAAGACACACTACCAACAAAATATTTCGGCATCGGGATCGCCCTCAAATATTGCTTGGATTGGTTCCTTCCAAGGGTTTTTGTTATTTCTTGGAAGTGCTGTCACGGGCCCGTTTTTTTGATATGGGATACCTCGAATACATCTTTCCCTTGGTGTCTTTTTTCCCGTATTCGGCATGATGATGACGAGTTTATGCATCAAGTATTGGCAAGAATATCTCGCCCAGGGCTTTATAACGGGAATAGACTTCGGTATGCTGTTCTTGCCAAGTGTTGCTATTGTATCACAGTACTTCTCGACCAAAAGTGCCTTTGCTTCTGGAATCTTTGCCAGTGGCAGTAGTCTTGGTGGGTATGAAAATGAAATTTGGCTCCACGATGAACTATTGTTAAAATGTGGAATACAGGTGGTGTGTTTTATACAGGAATATTCCGGACACTACAGCTTCGTTTCGGCTTTCGATGGGCCACTCGGATTATTGCGTTCAGATTGCTCGTTACTCTGGTAATTACTTGACATGAAGCTGCGCGGGGAGTCAAGTACTACAAGACGTGACTCACGTGAGTTTCTAAACTTGACGTCTTTGAAGGCGAAACCATACTTGGCTGTCTCTCTTAGCAGCTTCTTCGGATTCATGTGTATCTATGTAATCTTGTTCTCTGTTTAGCTTTATGCCGAAGAGCAGGTTAGTATCAGTTCTTTACTAGCGTCTTATCTTTTGACAATCACTAATGCAGCCTCTACAATTGGTCAATTGATTCCAAATTTCTTCTCCGATAAGATTGCACCTCTTGATGTCCTTATTCCGTTTGCAATTGTAGTAACGGTTCTATGCTTTGAATGAATTGGAACTACATTGAAGGCTGGAATAGTGGTTCTCTGTCTTCTGTATGGATTCTTTTTTAGCGCATTCGTTTCATTGCCCGGCATCATTGTCATAATGATATCACCAAATCTGAAAATTGGCGGCGTTCAATTTGGGATGTCACTCTGTATCTCCAGGCTCGGTATGCTCGTTGGAAAATCAATTGCAGGAGCAACATTAGATATCAATAGCGGGTGGAATGGGCTACAAGCTTTCTGTGGAGAAATGATATTTTCATCTGGGGCGTTCGCTCTGTTGACACAAATCTACAGGACTGGACCTATCTTGATGGCTAGAGCGTAATCATATGTATTTTTCTATATTATTTATCGAGGTTTCTGCTGAGATTGACGACACACAAAGTAAAACTGTAGACAACACGGTACTTCCTCTGAGCACTGATTTTTAGCGACACGCTTGAAATTCATCTAATTAGATTAGAGTTCTCACATAACACTTATGGCAAGATCAATAACATGACCTCTCTAATTCCATAATAGTAGTAATACGTCCAGTAACTCTACAATGAGCATAAATACCAAGCCTTCTCTCAACAAACTGCTTCCTCTCACTTGACGTCTCCTCTTTCACCCCAGCTCTTGCCTCCCATATGAACGTATCAACAATGTCCACTGTGTACGCCACCTCTCTTCCCCGGCCCCCCAGGCTTCTTGGTCTTCTCTTGCTCAATTCCCAACGCTTGTCAAACAGTTTCACTCAAATGATTGCTCTTTTCAAAAAGTATGACATCAAATATTTCCCCTGTCATGCAGGACTCTTTGTCTTGGCAAGGATGGTACCAAAGAGAACTTGGGAAAAGGTGTTAGAATCGATAGATTTGTTTAAGAGAGACAGAGTTTTGATAGGGCCAGGAAAGAGATGTCACGTTCTAGAGCCAGGTTGGGCAAGAATCTCATTTGCGATGGAACGGGAGGTTTTGAATTTGGCCATTGAAAGGATGGAAAAAGTCTTTAGACTGACCAGTGAGCAGGAAGCATGTCAAAATCGCAATCGAAAGGAGCTAGGTTGTGGGATGTTGAGCAGAAATGTGGGATATTTGATTTCCATTTCTATTTCGTTGGCTTACCAGAGATAAGAATAGGACATTGAAAGGCGGAGGATCAAGAGTTTTCGTTTCGTTCTTAAGAGGTCCGTATAATCTGTGATATCAATAATCTGAGAAAATAGTTTTCTCATATTTGATACAATTTGTCATTGTTTATGAAGCCTAGTGGATACCAGAATAATCTTAAGCTGAGGGATACTAATACATGCACTCATGCACAGCTGTACCCATCGCACACTCCTTCATTAACCATATTTGAAAGAGAAATTTGACACGGTAGCCTGACCAAACTAGCTAGAACTATGTACTCAATTCTTACAAGTATCAATTCGGCACATGTTCTCTTGAATTCGAAACAAATCCACACAGTGGCCAGATCGAAAACCATACTGTTCTCATGTATCCAAAATCCACTAATTGGCCATCCAAAGACTACTTTAATCTAATGAAACACATTCTTCTTAGAGAAAAAAATCTCTTTCTTTGTCAGAGAAGACACACCCACAATCTCGTTTCCCTTTAAGTTCAGTCAATTCGGTGCCTTAAACCCATCCAATTCAATCTTGATGTCTTGCGCTTCTTTAAACATTGTTTACCTACGCATGCGGAAATGACTCCTATATACACAATATCGATAGCAAGACTTTTTGTCTCGAGAAGCACCCAGTAGAACCGTCTAGTCACTACATGAATGTTTGAGCTTCATCTTTCTCTTTCTACATGACTGTATGGTGCTTGAGATATCTTTCAATAGTATAAAAACTAGCTCGGTGCCCATTTCATTTAAGTTTAGCAATCAAGCACCCAACAATCAATCACTCATCAATCGATCACTCAAGATGACCTCCCAAAATTCCCAGATCCCACGAACATGCGGCAGCTGTGGCGAGATACACAGTCCATCGCTTTGCCATGTTCCATTGCAATGTTGGCATTGTGGCATTGAACATTTTTCCACCAAAGATTTTTGCCGCATTTGTAATGGGTGGGTAATACCATCAAGCACTACAGCGACGGACGAAATTCTAAGCATGCCTATTGATTGGAAGGTATATTCAATCGCAAGTACGGATTCAAGTCAACTCAAGAGCGAGCAGTTGAAAAATGCCGCACTTGCTATAAAGAATGATCAGTACACTGCTATCCTTTGTGCCAAATCTCTTGATGGACCATACAAGGCAAAGCAGACAGCGGTATTCTTACATAGACCTGGAGGAGACAAGAGGCTGTCGTTTACAAAGCTGGGTCTGAGCGGTATCCAAGCCAATTCTAGAAGGTGGGTGGATATCAAACTTGCCGATTGGACAACGTTTGAGGAAATTGTAGGAGTGACTCCATGTAAGTACTCTCATGAGTTGCAATCTACTAGGCACTAGAGCTGACTTCGTAAACAGTACCATCCACTTTCCCGACGCCAGAAAATATTGGTTCGCTAGAAGGTGACGAACAAGACACAAATGTTGGGAGCTTCGACGGGGGTCGTTTCCCTGCTGGATCGGGTGCTAATTGACTAGCCTATATGCCAGATCAATATGTGGAGGACATACAATACCTTAAGCGTATGGTAGCCGTTAGCCTATACAGCCAGTTATAGTGTTCAGCCCACAAGTTTTCATATAGTTTCTCCAAGCTATTTTTCAATTGCTCGACGGTTTTGCCAGTGGGAGTTTGTGCTTTTGTATACAAACTTGTTTACTTTTATCCTTGTACATCAGTATCATGAATGTGAATCTCAAGATTTTCAAAGTAATATACGGATAGAAGGTGCACAGTACACTGTACGGTCAAAGAATGCAAAATTCTCAAGTATTGGAATAAGCATTGGCGAGCTCAACGAACTATGTATAAAGTGTCTTGAACCACCGCATAAACTCTCTGTCCTCTTTGTCCCAGTCGTACTTGTGGGGGGCCAATTTTTCTGTTTCTGAATCATCATCTAGATCCGAAAGCTCAGGTTCAAATACATCATGATGCTCTTGGGACCACCCCATATCCCACTCCACAAATGTCCTCCTTACTTTATGGCATCACAAAATTCCTTGCTATACCATTTATTTGCACCACTCTTTCCTTGAATGCTATGACTGTTACCTCCTCCACGTTCATATAGCTTAATAACCCTCTCTATGGCCCATACCATGGGAGCCCAATCTTCCTTCTTGAAAGTTGGGGGGCAAAACTCCAACATCTGCTCTTCGGCCGTACCGGGACCGCTTAGTAGTCGAGGGTTGCGAAGAAGTTCTACCCACCAAGGATAGTAGCCAGCCGTTTCCCAATCAATAATTGCGGTGACCTTCCACTTTTGATCCGCATTGTCATTCGAGCCATAGATATTCATATTATGCAAGTCGCCATGGGTTAGAACATATGGTCCACCCTTTGGGAAGTCTGCTTTGACCTCAACTATATTTTCGTCCACCCATTTGACCCAATTGTCCCGTGTCGCTGGATCTTGACGCCCAGTTTTATTGCGCAACCAAAGTTTCCATAAAGGGCCTTTGCGTATCGCAGGAGTTAAATTTTCCAGCCATTCTTCTTCATTTCGCCCTGTATTCACACAGGGAAATCCACCGCATTTTCCAATATAGTTATCACGAAGTTCTCCGCCATCTACTCTTCCCATGTGAGGACTAGTAAATTGGCGAATGCTTTTGATATGTTTTTTAAGATCCGTTGTAAGATCTTTGTACTGTTCATCGCAAATATCACGCAACTCTTCCACCGGTTTTCCTTTGCTCGAGACATCATTGTAAAACTGAACTTTTCATCGCCACCCCCAAATCTGTACATTTCCACAAGGGGTAAACCTATATTGGCATCCCGAAGAAATTTCTGTGTTGTATAGTCCACCGACTTGCCATCTTTGGCAATGTTTATTTCATCTTTCAATAGCCACGGCCCATCTGGTCCGCCAAGTTCCCATAGGGCATTATTGTGTCTAATATGTGCGATCTTTACGCGTGAAGTGTATCCATCTCGGGCCATGCCATCATCCAATCCACAATTGTAGCAGAATATTTCACCTCTCTGACGTGGTGCGGATTCCCAGCCCTTGAGTTCACTAACTATCGTGCCATGAACGGTGTGAACAAGATCTTTGGGGTCTACCCCGGGATGAACTACAATATTAACGATTGGTATTAAACTACTGTATGTGATGAACATTTACCCACATGTGTTGTCAAATTCTGCCATGTGCTGAACAACCCTAGGGGTTAGTTCTGTGACCTTTTCCTCCTCCATTGTGGATATAGATAGAAAATTGTAGCTCTAGATGAATTGGTGTATAGCAAGTGTATGGAATTGTGAAGAGAAGAGAATGTACTTCACAAATGATATTTGAGTATGAAAAAGAATAAAGACTAGATATAATAATAACAATAATAACCCTATATAGCATCATTTCATATATTGATACCTTAAATGTCAAGAATATAACCAAAATAACCTCAACTAACATTTTTAACATTTCAATCTCAACTTTTTTTAATAATGTTGTTATTCTAATCTCAATTTGATTTAAATAAAAAATTGATATTAGCATATTAAAATATTAAAATATATATAAATAATTTCTTGTTACAACGGATTAGTAACAGGCTGTAGAATCACCAACGTATAGGCTATAATGGTACTATAAGCCTCGGTGATTCAGCTGCAGTATACCGGGGGACGCTAGGCACCCAGGAGAGCCTCAGGCACGTATATAGTATTAGTCATAGGATACCCTAGAAACATAGGACATAGTTCCCAGGACAATAGGTCCTAGGAAAGACAGAACACAGTAAGCAAGAAGGCTTCACTAGGATTAGTAATGTCCCAGGGGATTAGCCCCAGGACAAAAGAATAAGCTAGGACACCAAGAGTCACGGGATTAGTGTCCCGTGATGGACAGCTCAGGAACGACAGCGCTCCAGGAGCGCCCGGCTGTCCCAGCTGTCCAAGTAGGACGAAGATCTATATAAGGGAATGGGTTTCATTACAATGTAGAGCTTCGTGCTCAAGAACAATCATTAGTTTCATTACTATAGTTACGAGAATTGCAACCAGTTACAACCTTATTGAATTCCTACTTGAAGTCTAGTCTAAACCACCTCGAGAGATCTCTAGACACTTCCACGTGACCCTAGAGGCAGCTCCCGTAACATTTCTATATAATATAATAACTTTATCCTTCTTTTATATTAAAATTATATTAGATATTTTAATCTTAAAAATATATAATATTCTGATTTTAAATTGATTTAATATTCTAATCTCAAATTGATTTAATATTCTAATCTTAAAAATTATATATTATTTTGATTTCAAAAACTATATATCATTTCAATCTTAAAAGTTATATTCTAATATAATATAATATAAAGTATATTGAATAATTACAAATTACAAATTCATAAATTTAAGATTTTTTTTTAATTTCTTAAATTCTAAAATATCTTTATTTCCTTTTTCTTTTTATATTTTCTTTTCTTATCTTTCTTACTTTTCTTACTTTTCTCTTCTTCTTCTTTTCTTTTTCTTTTCTTTTTCTTTTCTTTTTCTTTTTCTTTTTCTTTTTCTTTTTCTTTTCTTTTTCTTTTTCTTTTTCTTTTTCTTTTTCTTTTTCTTTTCTTTTTCTTTCTTTTTCTTTTTCTTTTTCTTTTTCTTTTTCTTTTCTTTTCTTTTCTTTTTCTTTTCTTTTTCTTTTCTTTTTCTTTTTCTTTTCTTTTTCTTTTTCTTTTTCTTGTTCTTTTTCTTTTTCTTTTCTTTCTTTTCTTTTTCTTTTCTTTTTCTTTTTTCTTTCTTTTCTTTGTTCTTTTTCTTTTTTTCTTTTTTCTTTTTCTTTTTCTTTTCTTTTTCTTTTTATTCTTATTCTTATTTATATTCTTAATTGAAATTAATGTAACGAACCTAATAAACGTTTAAAGATCAACCTTAGAATTAAAAACTACAGAATTAAAGAGAGTGTACTATAGAGCTATATATGTAATTGGTTTGGAGCTTAGTGTCGTACTAGCTCGATTGGACGCGATTATGTATATATTATAACATTATCTTTCCCTTTTAAAGAATTTACTTTGAATTTGTTTTAAACAAATGACTTAAGTATAAAATATGATTAATAAAATTTATTTTCATTATCATTATTATTATTTTCATTATCGATTTTTTATAAAATACCTTAAAAGGTTAGATATATTGTTATCAAATGAAAAGTATTAGTAAAAGCTTAACGTGGTTCATATACGAGTGGATCATATTACCGAATGAATCACTTCATTTCACATACAAAATTCGTCTGTGTGTAACCGTGCACTTCCCTTATTTATTAATATAAAATCTCAGAAATCTGATATATAATATTTAAATCTATAAGAATTTTAAAAATCTAATTATATTTTGAAAATTCGAATGAATATAAGAGTTATTATGAAATTAACTTCTCTATAATGAAAAGCATGACAATTTCAGTAATATAATAAGAACTTTTATATAAAAATTCGATTTCTGAATATTGATTATTTTATTATTATTAATAGCTTTTTCTTTCTCAAAAAATATTGATTTATTATTAAAATATGAATATTAATAAAACCTTGAATTTGGTGTGATTTTGAAGTGATTCATTCAATTACGGAGGTACCCGCACCGCAATATGGATTATAAGATAAACCTAAGGTCTTGGTGTTGGAATCTATAAAAACAATATTATAGGGATAATTGAATTAAAGAGTAACTAAAGATAGTAGTTATAGGTTATTTAGTAAGTATAGGTTAGATAAGTAGTAATATTATGTAGATTATAAGGCAAGTGTTATATGATAAGGATAGATAGGATAGATAAGCTATTCAGGCTATTTATAAATAGATAAAATAGATAATCTATTTAAGCTATTTAGATAAAAATGAAGGTTTATATAAAGAGAATAGGTTTTATTATAATGTAAAGCTTTATGCTTAAGAATAATTATTAATTTTATTATTATAGTTATAAGAATTGTAATTAATTATAACCTTATTGAATTCCTATTTAAAGTTTAATTTAAATCATTTTGAAAGATCTCTAATTACTTTTACATAACCCTAGAGGCAGCTTCTATAACACTTTAAGCACCCTTTCTACTTTAAGTATTAATTCGATAAACCATCGCTAAATATAGCAATTAGAAATATCGCTATAGGTCAATCTACACTAGTAATAAACATCAATAATGTCAAAATGGCTAATACTCTACAGAAGATTACTATCAATGAAACCCTTAAGATTGTCTTATTAAATAAATATCAAGGTAATCGATAGGAACTTAATACTTTCCTTTTATAACTAAAAATCTACTTCTGATTCAATAAGGATAAATTCATAGCCATAGAATCTAAGAGCATATATGTTACGGGAGCTGCCTCTAGGGTCACGTGGAAGTGGCTAGAGATCTCTCGAGGTGGTTTAGACTAAACTTCAAGTAGGAATTCAATAAGGTTGGTAACTGGTTGCAATTCTCGTAACTATAGTAATGGAACTAATGATTGTTCTTGAGCACGAAGCTCTACATGTAAGGAAACCCTTTCCCTTATATAGACCTTTGCACTCTGCGATCCCATCGATCCCACTCACTGAGAGTAGTGGGCGTAGTGGGATCCCACTGATCCCATTGATAATAATCGGTGGGACTGATGGGATGGTCCATCACGTGATACTAGTCCCGTGAGTCTTGTCGTCCTGTCTTATTTCCTGTCCTAGGGCTAATCCCTTGGGAGCTTACTAATCCTAGCAAGACCTCTCTTGCTTACTGTGTCCTGTATTGCTTATTCTTCTTAGGACCCTACTGTCCTAGGAACCATGTCCTATGATTCAGTGTATTCTATAACTAATACTATATACATGCCTGAGGCTTTCCTTGGGTGCCTAGTGTCCCCCGGTATACTGCAGCTGAATCACTGAGGCCTATAATACCATTATAGCCTATAAGTCAGTGATTCTACAGCCTGTTACTAATCCGTTGTAACAATATAGACTATATTTTATTTTAGAAGAAAAGTAAATAAATAGATTTAATTATATTTATAAGATTATTTTAAATATAATAAATAAGATTATATATAATTCACTCAAATAATCTTTAATAGTTTTTAAAGGATTTAAAATAAAAATTTATAGAATCTTTAAAAACTCTAATAAACTAGAGGTAGTGGAAAATAAAATCTTTAATTTTAAGTAGATAGAATTAATATTAAAGTATACTATAGAATTTTAAAAATATGTAGAAATAATTAAATAAAATGAAATCATTATTATAAATTATTATTATAAAGGATTCAAACTAGAAGTGAGATTGAAGTTAAAAAGATCTATTGAAAGTGTAAACTTGAATAATTTAATTTAGAACTTTATTAAATCAAATAATTATCTTTATCAATATTAATAAAGTTAAAGATTATACAAACCCTAAAGAAATTAAAAGTAAGGGCGTTATTATAAGAATAAAAATAGATCATGTTATAATTTAGAGGGATATAAAAACCCTATAGAACTCAATACTATATACTATAAAGATAGGAATAATAATTCGGAAAAGAAATAAAGATAAGAAAATAACTTATACTTTGAATATAGAAAAGTAGGGTATTAGACAGTAGAATATCGAAGTAAAAGAATAGAGGGTAAAAAGGGTAACTTTAAGAATAAGTTCGACAAGGGCCAACTTAATACTACCTTTATGTTACAATTGTATACTATTAGTATAATAGGGCTAGCCACACCATTATTAGTTTACAAAAAAGAGCTTGAAAAAGAAGGAGAGGTTGAAGACCTTTTATAAGTAAACAAGAACCTATAGTTAGAAGAATCATAGTCTATTCGAGAAATTGACCAATGGAACCGTTGTATATAGAAATTTGGAAATATAGATAAAGGAACTATAAACGAGGACCTTAGTGTAACAAATATTAAAGAGAGTGAATCATATAAGGTTCAATATATTAATCAATATCAAATTCTATGATTTGAAATTATTACAAATATATTATTTGTAAAAAGGATTAATATCAATTATCTTCAATGGTTAAACAAAGAAAAGCTATAGAAAGTGTTTTATCACCATATATTTAAAAGAAATGAGGATTAGATTTTATTTTTATATAGAAGAATGAGGGAAGAATACTAGATCCAGGCTCAAGCCATATTACCACCACCAGTTATGGGTACAATAATGAAAGTTATTCAAGGGAACTACCAGTACATTCTATAAAGGGATTTACTTGAT